AGCTTTCGGTTCAGTCACCTTTCTTTGAAATGGGTACAAGTAAGGATCACCTTACTCAGTTGGCCAAGTAGCTGCCTTCCAAATTTCTTGCCATAGATGAGTGAGTGCTTCCATTTGTTTCATCAGCTTGTTAAAACATTTTGATTGATATTCCTTCAATTCCTGGAGCCTTGTTTTAGTTAATACCTTTACTGCGGTTGCACATCTTCAGTACTATTGGTTCTTGTTTATGTTCTACCGCTTAAAATCATTGAATGTTGGCTGGTTCTTTTTGGTACAGTAACTGAGTATTCTTTCCATCTATTAATGGTTACATAATCCATCGAATGAATTCTTTCTTTTTTTGTTTTGTGTTGTTTTTTTAATCATTTTATTGGGGCTTGTACAACTCATCACGAATTCATTCTTATTTTAAAGCTCAGTGAAATTTAGTGTTCGTAGTGTTTGTAGTGCTTGTGCTGTTCAAAATTATACTCTTCATACATTCTTCGCCTTTCTTTTTTTTCCATTCTTTGCATTTCTAATTGTCAATTTAAAATAGAATTTATATCAAATTTCTAGGTAATAGAATGAGTTTTTAAGATTTTTGCTTATTGCAGACTCACTTTTAGAAAGCCTTTCGCAGTTTTTTTGTTGTTTTTGTTTTTGCATTTGCCAGGCTAAAAATTCATTTTCATACCTTTGCCAATTTAGTAAGAGAAAATTGATATCTTTTAATGTACATTTCTATGCTGCCTAATAATCAGTATGCTTTTGGCAAACATAACGAGTGACTTGTTAACTTTGCCACTTGTCTGGGTCAAAGTTGACAAATGAAATTTGGAGACAGACTCTGTTTGGTTATGATATTATTTGCACTCCCTCAAGCTCTTACGTGACTTTGTCCATAGTGTTATATACCTTATCTAGGCTTTGTTTGTCAGGTCAGACTCTTCATGGTACTACACAAGGTAATCGTTTCCACTTACTTTTGCTGCAGGTACAAACACGTAGTGCTGATGAACCGATGACAACATTTGTTGTCTGTAATGAATGTGGAAATCGATGGAAGGTAGTGTACACTCTTGATTTATATTACAATCATTTATAGTAGCATCATTTCTTTAAATACTTTTAAAAGTCTACCTAGATGTGTGAATATATTTAGATCCTCACATTTACTGGTACTATGGAAGTCGGTGTCTAACCACTTGTCTGGTGTAATGTATTGTATACTCTTTCTCTTGTTACTTTCATTATTATTTTATAGTATGAGTAACAGAAGTGAATGAATCTTAAATGTAGGTTACTACATATATAGTTTGTTTATATTATGTTAATTCTGTTTGTAAGAAAACTCATATGGACATTTTCTCAAATAATTGAAACTTAGCATCATGCTTATGGGAATGTTATCCTATACAATTTTTCGATGGATCTAGTGGCATGGGTCTCTACGTGACTACTGCAGCTCCAGGACTCTGGCTCCATCAGTGTAGCTCCATGTGGCTTGTCAACAGGAATGTGTAGCAGAGAGCGTATGTCTGCCCTCCAGTGAGCTATTTATTTCCGTAGAGTCTCCTAATGAAGTAATCAAGCTGTGACCTAATTGATAGGATAAACTCCACCCCTTTACTCTTAATATTTTCAAGCTGACACCAGATTATGTAACTATCATAAAGGACCTCTAAAATGAGCTAAGAGGGAGAAAGACTATCAGTCTGGCCGGGTGGAGAAACTGGATCTGAAATCCAGAAATTGGTGAAAGAAGACCACCTATACTCAAATTAAGGGGGCTTATTAGGAAAATAGGAGCCCTGGTGACATAGTGGTTACTTGAACTGCTAACCACAACAATGTCAGCAGTTCAAAACCACTAGCCACTCCAAGAGAAGATTTTCTATTCCCATAAAGAGTTGTAGTCTAGGAAACCCACAAGGGCAGTTTGTCCCTATCCTATAGGGTCACGATGAGTCAGAATCCACTTGATGGCAGTATTAGGAATGTTAATAGGTTACCACAAGCCAGGATCAGAAACATTAAGGATATAGGCATTGGTCTATAGCAACACCAGTCCTCAGCCAGCAGCTAGTGCTATACATGCTCTATATGCATATTCCTACCCAGTTACTTGGTGGGAGTTGCAGAGACATGGATAGCTACCACAATGAAGATAATTTTATGGAATGAATCATAACTAGAGCTGAGACTTGGGTTTACTATTACCATCTCAAGAGCAAAGTCTGATGAAACATTGGCTTCTTTGAAAATCTGTTGGTTTTGTTAAATTTAAGCCATAGATAATCCAGGAGGTTTAGGCACCTGTTTTCTTAAATTCCAGTCGGGTAATCTTGATTGATTCTTTGAGGGTGCTAAGAGTTGTCTTCCGAGAATTTCATTGGGAAACCTTACCCACCTACCCTGATCTTGTCCTTTCAGATCTGTTTTGTTTCCTAAACACAAAGAAGATATAAAAGGACATTTGAGTCCCTCAGGATAGCATTTCTCTCTGACAATCAAAGCATGCAGATTTCTTTGGGGAAGGGTGGCAGAGAGGGAAGCACTGCCCCAGAAGTATGTAGACTTAGATGAAGGATATGCTTAGAAAGAGTAGCTTTACAATTTGAGCATTTTGCTTAATATTTGTTGGAATACTTTATGACTTCCATCATATTTTCCGTTACCTTGTTGAAATCAATCTCACTGCTTTTGGAAATATAGATGAATGCTGGAGTTTGGGAGGTTTTCACCAAGACTCGTATTGTCTGTTTAGTCTTGAATGAGCCACACACGTAAATTTTTGTCATCTCAATGATTCATTTTTTAGTGTTTTTAAGCCACCAAAATATGGTTTCAAATTGGGTGATTTTATTGGGTGTACATGAGCTCAAAGCCCACTTGTATTATTTTAAGATGGTGATGGAGATAGGCAATTTGTAGCATAGGGTCTGATATAGCAACTACTGGTTTTAAGGAAGTTCATGTCTGAAAAGTATAGCATCTTTTTTTTAAAAAATGCCTCTTTGGGGAGGGGGGAGGGGAAAAAAAGGAGTGATACCGAGGGCTCAATAGAAAGCAAACATCTATAAAATAATGATGGGAACATATGTACAAATGTGCTTGATACAATTGATGTATGGATTGTGATAAGAGTTGTAAGAGCCCCCAATAAAATGATCTTTTATTATTATTTTTAATCATTTCATCAGGGACTCATACAACTCTTATCACAATCCATACATACATCTAAAATTATTTTTAATTAAAAAAAAGCCTCCTTTACAAAATAAGGTTTATGTTGTATTAAATGTGGGATATACTTCCATTGTTGATATTTAAAAGTCTCACAAAATATTTCTTCTTTTTTCACAGTTCTGCTGAATTTGAAGAATTGGCAAGGTGTCTGGACCATTAAGAAAATGGATTTTGTAATTAGCTTTAAAACTAGGCTAACCAACTAGTTTTCTTGCAAATCAGATTTTTAATGCAGCATACATACTTTACATTAGTCTTTGTTTTTAACATAACATCCCTTCCTTACATACCTTCCATAGATTCAGATCAGTAGGGAGACCATGAAAAAGTGCACAGTATCTCTTTCAAAAAGTACTGTTACTGTTTTTCCCCATTTTTATAAATAAGTTAACATTAAATTTCTATCAATTAAACATTGGCAATTGATTTATTTTATTTTCTTCTTAAAGGATAGAAATGTCCCTTTGTGCAGCTTGAAAAAATACACACTAAAATGCTATTTTCTCTATTGCTCACATGGAAATTAAATTTTTTTCATATTGGCATGTATCTCATATTAAAGGAGAAAAGATAATATAATATCAGGCTTTTAAAATATGGCATATATTCAAATAATACGTGACCAGTTTATCTAAATTGTAAATAATATTTGGACTGAGAGCATTTGATTTTAAATATTGTGTTCACAAGCCTAGAATAATTAGATTTTTTTTTTTGCATCTGTAACTAACCGTGATCATAATTTCTTGTAATTTGCTACACATATATGTATATATTCCTTGTTCTTAATAGGATTTACTTTTGGAAACACAGCTTTGTTGAAATAAGTTTGGTTTTGTTGTTTATTTACCTGTTAGACTGTGTAGTTTTAGTTTTATAGAAGATTGCTGTTGTAGTTTGGTAGGCATTTTGTCAATCCCCACGTAGGCAAAGATTAAGAGCCCCCAACCATTGTTTTTTCTTAGAGGAAGTCACACTGGGGAGAGAAATAGCATTTTACTATAGTGTACTTACTGATTCTAAGTATTTCACAACTGGATTTTTATTTCAAAATTCTTACCAAGGATTAAGCTTACATACTCTATAATCCATTAATGGTTCATAAAGGATTGTATGAACCATTAAAGCTATATAGTCTTTCCACATGGAGGTTCATAGGAAATATGTACCAAGTCTTTATTTCCTGACTTTTTTCAGTTATATACTGAATGAGGTTATTTAACAAATGGGATACATAGGCTGTAACTCAAGTAATAGCACAGATTTTACCATTACATTGTATTTTTGTTGAAGTATGAGCCATTTGTTTTGTTAGGCATAGGAATCCGTGATCTCACTGGGTCTTTCGTGTACATTGGCGGCAGCCACTTGACAAACACCATGACCAAGCTCACATTTTATCATGCTGTGTCTTCTTTCTGTCCACACCTGGAGAAAGACCTCAGCATCTGTTTTGTACTTTCCCCGGCCCCCTGCCCCCATTTCTTATTGTAAAAGGATTTGATGTAATACAGAAAACAATGTTTTAAGGTTCATGTTAATCTCCATATATAGGATTTGGCCACCGGTCCCCATATACCTGTACTTTGTCAGTTTACCGATTAGCTTATTGTTTAGTCATTTTAGCTAAAATTGCATTTTGAAATGAGTACGTTTCAGAAGTGTACAATAGTCTCACTTTTAAATTAAATGATCCATTAAAAAATTTGTAATTCAATAAAGTTTTTTTTGTTAAAAGTATCATGTTTTGTCATTTTATTGAACATCAAAGCTCACTTTACCTTTTGCTTAAAAAGTCTCTCTTGTTCCTCCACTAACATTAACTGACATCCCCCCCAAATTAATTGTGTGTAAGTGGAACGTTAACATGCAAATTAGTTTGTCATTTAATAATTTTTATATAAATTCTGTGTTCTTTTAGGTGGGATGGCCTGAAGCTCGTGTATTGGCTCTGTTGGACCGCTGTTAATTTTCATGAGTTCCACAGTCAGCACCTGGCCTGCTTTTAGCTGCCGAGACTGAGCTGCTTTATTGGCTTTTCCCACAGATGTCGTCAATTTGATTTCTGTGTATTCTGTCCAACTATCTGTATAGTTGTCGTTTGTCATTTTGAAAAAGAGGTATTTTCTATGAGCAAGTCATTAGTCTTGTAAACTTTTTTGACTCTCAGAAAGGTCTGTCCACATACCTCTTTCTCACATCACTTTGTCACTAATTTTCCAGTCAGGTGCCTGACAAGTCCCTGAGCATCCAGTCAAACAACTGACCACAGCCCACAAATCAGTAGACGGTCATACATAATGCCATTTTCCTTCCAAGCAAAATGAACCGCCAGATGTTTTGCTTGCAGTTCTGCCCGCTGTGAGAACTCTCACCATTGTTATTCAGGGAGGCCCCGAAAGGATTCCTGTGTTGCTGCTGCGCACTTTTGAGTGGTCCTTGCTGAGCAGAAGGAGCTCCCCACGAAGTCAGGTGCGGAGTGAGAGAAGGAAGGCGGTGAGAGAAAAGGGGAGACTATAGGCGTTAGGGCCACTGTTTCATGCAGCTCATAGGTACCTTCGGGTCTTGTTTTTTCCACTTCCACACAACAGAAAAATAGATCAAATAATGATTCCCGCAGAAATGACGGCCTATCTCCAGACTCTTGATACTGCAGTAAACAAGCCATTTAAGGACAATTTGCACATGGAAATTAATGACTACATTGAAAATAGAATGGAGAGAAATCAGTGTGGAAACTTTGTGAAACCTAAACTGCAAGAGGTTGTGACTTGGGTGAAGAATTCATGGGAGAAATCACTGACAGTTGCATTGCAAATGCACTATGAGCAGGCTACCTTAACAAGAAGTACTCATTTAAGGACAGTGCTATTGCTAAGCATGAGAGATTTGGTCCGCTGATTCTGAAAGAAATGGAGTCACAGAAATTCACCAGGAAATTCAGGGTTTGGATTGTGAAGAAATGTCTTCATGTCTTTAGCGCGGTAAGTGCTGGCTGCATCCCAGAGTAGCAGACCTCTTTGGCATAACAAGTGGCAGCATTAAATCAACCCACTTCCTTATAACTGCTTGTGTGGCCCAGGCGTTTGCAGTTTCAAGAATAAAAATGCCCAAAACACATTCAATCTTTACTTCTTGCCCTTAGAAATGATTAAAGGGGGAAAAAAAAGAAATGATTAAAGGTGGGATTTTAGTGCCATCCAGATGAATTGCCAAAATACAGGAAACGTGCACTTTGGTAAGCAGTGGAGGGAATGTACACTGAGGAGGCACCTGCTGTTCAATTGTTGTTTGAGATGATTGGCCCATAAACACTGCAGTTTCATCCATAGCAATCATGTTGGAAAGATTGTATTTAGAGAAGTCAGCATCGTCAATAAAGGACTTGAATGCAAGTGCTCGCTTAATAACTTGAGCATCTTCAGCCTAAACAATGTGGATCTACCTAAAGACAGTTCACTTCGCTGAAGGAAATTATCCAGCCAGTGTTGTGATGCTTTGAAGTCTTCGGGGGCTATGTCAAACTGGTGCCATTGCAAGGGCAAATTCTTGAATCTGAGCCCTATTCACAACCAAAGCCTTTACTCCCTGTCAACAACCCATTCACAGATCAGATCTTACAGCTCAGAAAATAATGGTTGCCGACCTGACCCACACTTGCGCTTTTTAGCATTGTGTTCTTTTTGTGCTCGTGTCTAGGGGTAAAAAATAAAAATGACACTGAGGTATCAGGGTGGAAGGAGGGGGATCACTTAAAATGCCACAGGAGGATCAGAGGGGTGAATCAAAATGACAATCAAAATGACACAGGAGAATCAGAGGGTGGAATCAAAATGACACAGGAGAATCAGAGGGGGGAGATTATCATTTTGTAACCCCTTCTGATGCTCCTATGTCATTTTAAGTGATAACCCAGTGCCATTTTAAGTGATCCCCCTCCCCCCACCCCTGTGCCAGTAGACACCTTCACCAGACATCCCCCCACCCCTTTATCAGACATTTCCTCCCTAGCTCAGTCACCCCTGTATGTCCACACAATGTGCCCGACTCCTGCCCCGAGCGACTCACTGTCTAATTATGAGTCAGCCTGACTCCTTCAGGGCAGATTGAGCAGCAGGTGGCAGCTTGTCCTGGCGGTGGCTCAGGCTCTCTGATTAAAAGAGACCTCGCACTTCCTGTCTGCTCCAGCTGCGCTGCGGCCAACAGTGAGCTGCGCAGCTGGCCACTATGGTCCAGAGTTACAGTAGCTTTAGGGGGCCTTACTATCGGGGAGTTCTTATTTTCAGGGGGATATCTTATATTTCAGCGAGAGGCAAAACTAAGTAGGTCTTATTTTCGGGGCATGTCTTACTTTCGGGAAAACACGGTAGGCCCAATCAGCATACTGTTATCATTGTAATGGACCAGTGTGACATTTTGCGGAAGGGAAAGGCGATCAAGGTCCTGGTGGACTAACTTAACAGCACTGTGCCTTAGAGTTGATATCGTTTGAGGGCGGGTCTATGAAAGTGTATTGTCCTGGCCAGCTGCTTCCGGTGCTCATTTAAAATTGGAATTGAGAAAAGACACTAGCAGGTAAATAGATGCAGACCAGGTACCACACGAAGAATTTGTTCAAGCAATTCACATCTGGAACAGCAGCTGCAATTGGAGTCACCATCTGGTGAAGTTTATGACAATTCACTGTCATTTTCCAAGATTCATCTATTTTTGCACAGGCAAAATGGGCAATTTAAATGGGAATGTGGTGGGAATTATCCTGCTTCCTTCAAGTCCTTGATGGTGGCACTAATCTCGGAAATCCCACCAGAAATACAATATTGCTTTGCTCTATTATTTTTCTCAATGGAGGGAGTTCTAACAGCTTCCCCTTGGTTTTTCCTACCACGATGGCCCTATTCCACACTGCAGAGATCCAGTGTGGTATTTCTGATTTCTCTTTCAATTATGCAGCCTGGGTCTGGGAAAATAACTCTGGGATGGATTTGGGGAGCCCCTTGAACCATTATGGACTGCACCTGAGTTATTATTCTATTGATAACTTGACCTCCATATGCCCCACTCGGACTAGTATGCCTTCAATCCCTTTTTTGTCTCCTAGAATTGGTGTCAGTTCTGAGCCAGTGTCCAATAATCCATGAAAATTTGATTATTACTCTCAATCAACAAAATTATTCTTATAAAGGGCTACAGATCCCTTTGGGGGAAGACATAACAGTATAAATGTCTGGTGGTGTAGGGGAGTGTTTTCAAAGGGACCTGGCCTGCCTTTCATTTAAGGGGTTGTGGGTATGAAAACTTTCTCAAGTCTGAGAGTTGATCGAAAGGTTGTATGTTTATTTTGGTGATCGAGTTACACTGCTATACATCTGACCTAGAATTTTTCTGCTTGTACAGATCAAGTAAACATTTATTTTCCTAACCGTTTTACTTAGAGCAAGCTGAACATCATACCATTTCATAGTTCAACCACATAAAGTGGGATTATACGATTGCTACCATACTTTCAAAACATGTTGTTCCTTCTTGAACTCCTTGTTAATAGCTTCCTCTTACTGCTCAACACCCCACCCCCCACCGCCCGCCTGCCACCCCACTTCCCCTCCAGGAACCCTTACTTTGATTGCCCCTGTAGCATCATCAATTGTGGGGTGCATAAACAAAACAGAAAAACACATAACAAAGATTCATGAAGCCTACCCACAATGTCAAACTATATCGGAGATACGAACCCCAATATGGAAAAAACAACAACAAAATATTGAAAGCCAGATTGAGCCCAAGGTGTATAAGAGGAGATCAAGTGACAAAGCTTAATCGTTCAAGTCAGGTTCATCATTTTAATCTGTTACAGTCGTCTCTCCCGTACTCTCTGCTAGCCAGTTTATTCCCGTCCCTCAATTATGGTTGGAGGGAAATCACTGGAGGCTTAGTTCCTGTGTAAAACTCGCAAATGTATTTTGGGCTTCCACGTCTGCAACTCAGAATCTCACAATTTAAGCTCTGATACTATTCCCTCCTTTGGCTTTGGCTTATATAATTTACAATCCTTTCAGTTACTGGTGTTGGTGTGCTTCTTCCATCTGGACTCAGTTGAGATCTCAATTAGATGGCTTATTTGGAAGCAGCCTAGTCTATCTGATAGCTGGGCACAATCTAATTTCTTCACACTTTGCTTTAATACCCATATCTTCTGTGTTTCCTCCATGAGGGCAAGTATCGAACGGGGCCATGTCATAAGAACAAATTGTTTTTAGATTGGAGCTAGATTAAGTGTGAGCCCCAAATCCATCCCTCGATCTGTTTTTTATCTGTCTCGGGCTCCCCTTAAAGACCTCCTTATTAATGTATAGTAGAGAATCTTACTGATCATCTCCCTGGCGCATAAGATCTTCTTTTAATAGTGTCATTGATTGATTGGCCCATTGTACTATTTTGGGGTGGGTGGGTAGGGGATTAAAACTTTTTATTCAAATTAAACCACTAGGAAAATAATATATCACCACTTTGAAACAGCAAATGGAGAGGTTATATTATCACTTCAGGTATGAAATTGGTAGAAAGGTGACATGCCCCTTATTGAAATAGGGTGTCACTGCAGCAGTGACCACATACTACAGAGGCCTCAGGCAGAAATTTTGATTTAGTAACAGAGGCTAGCCCTCCTTCGCTCTAAAGGAGTCACAGGTCTCCCTAACCCCTGAGTCACTCACTCTTTCTCCCTTAAATTTCCTGTTGCC